AGCGTTTTAAAAATTTCGTTACCGTTAAGTATCAACCTGTGTAAAGTATTGTGTGTATATATTTATTTAGGTTTCCAGTGTGTATATTCTTAAAACTGTACCAGTAATTCAGCCTTAGGCTGCAAGTGGTCCGAAATAAACTATATTATCATTATATTATCACTATTATCATTACTTCCAAAATAATATTTGAGGTTAATCGGGATTTTTAAGGAAAATTTCAAGATTTTTAGCGACAAAAATGAGATTAACAGAAATTTCTTGGAGAAATTTCGGTTAGATTCTCAGGCCATTTGGGACTTGCGTATCTAGGCATATGCTCCAGTGATGCAAAGATTCCATCATGCCTTGCGATCGTTAAAAATCATTATTGTCTAGTTGAGCACTACATAGGCCATGACGGAAGTACTTCTTGTCGCAAAGTGCTCGTTTCTCTCAAACATCTCGGCCTTAAACAAAACTATTTTCAACTAAACTAAGGAACAAAAGGTCGAAGTGAGAACCGATCGACCGACGAGCTCTTTCAGCCGTTTTTAAAAGACGATTGGGGGAAATGCACCAGCGAAGACAATGGTAAGACGCAGAAGTAATCGAGCCTTACTGAAACAAGATACAAAAATGATCGAGCCTTAGAATATCGCTGGGTAACCTTCTGTCGTCATAGAATTTCACTTTCGTCTTAATTAACAGAAATTTCTTGGAGACAGCCCCATTAGACTTAAACAGGAAAATACACAAGTGTGCATGATGCCAAAGCTATATTTATGACACTATTTGATATGAATCTTTGACGACATGCATTTATTAAACTTCTCCAGCGATGGACAGTCAGACTTTCTTTGTTATTTAAAGTACGTCAAGTGTAGATCGATTGTGATTCAAACGAACTTGATGATTATGAGATCAGTTATGTAGTAGTCGCTGATAAATAATCAGATATCTTAAAATAGGGAATGTCTTAAATTCACTCAGTGTGAACACAGTATTTGTCATTACTCAATCATCTTTCCACGGCAACTGTTCGATAAGTTACTTCTTGCGAATAAGAGATTCCTTCTTACTAAAAAAACTGAAATAATAGTGAAAAATCGTTAGTTATATTAATCGAAAGATAGACTTAAAGATTCTATGGAGTAGAATCAAATCCTTCGGTCTAGCCGGCTTGATCTCTTGATTGACTCCTTAATTCCGCCGGGGTGGTTTTTATCAATAAAGCTTTTAGCTGCAAAGGAACCGAAGCTGTTTAGGACTTCTTACGGCAAGACGCAAAGTTGGAGAAATTGTTCGCTTTCTTGGAGAAAGTAAGATGCTTTCAGGGCAGCGGTATTCGAATCAACGAAGGCTGAAGGAGGTTGAAAGAACCTTGGCCTTGAAAGAACCACTTTCTGCTCAGATTATTGCTGATCGATTTGGGTAGTAATTTAGCTAGATCTATTGATGCAAACACTGCTTGGACTTGCCTTTCTTACATATTGTTCGGATGAGTAGTTACCTGTTGAGAATGCTTCCATGATTTCATTGCATTGGCCAAAGATTAAGTCTTATCAATACGACTTAGATAAACTCATCAAAAAATAAACTAAACCATCATTGAAAAAATTTTAACCATTCATACATTAATAATAACGAATAGCTTTGGTGATGGAAATGACCCTACCTTAAGATTTTGATAATTGAATTATACTTTTGTTTGTTTCGGTTTTCTTGTTTTGTTTTCTTCACAGGAGGAGATCGAGATTAACACTTCTGAGAAAGTAGAAATTCCATCGGAATATAAAGGTTTGATAATTGGTAGGCTGGGAGCTAATCTTCGTGAGTTAAGCAAGGAAACAGGAGCAGAAATAACGCGGAAAGATTGGGAAGTGTATATTACGAAAGGGACAAAGAAGCAAAGGGAGCATGTCAAACTGCTCATTGGAATCAAAATTGTAAGTATTTGATATCCATTTTGTAATACCCTAATGCATTCACTTTTTAGTCCCCTCATGGAATTTTTTTTGAAAAGTATTACCCTTAACAGGGATTGCTTGTTTTCACAAGAGATAATCAAGGTTCTCTTTTTTTTGCGGCACTTACAGCCAGGCATGTGATGTACGTTTTTCTGGCTTGGTATCCGAATATTTGCTCACGTATGCATGACTGTAATGAAAAAAGCTGTCTTTTCTTAATCACAAAGATCTGTAAAATTACTAAAGAAGACTTCAATTTCAGGCTAGAGGAAGACTTAGAGGTAGGAAAAACGAACTCAAAATCTGTGGTGTAGTGTCGCAAAGTCTTTAATTGTAACGGAACAGACTCCAATATACAAGAAGAGTTTACACCGAAATTAGTCAGATCCAACGTATTCAAAAACGTCCTTCGGCTTAGCAGCCAAGCCTGCAATATCCATGGATACCCGGATATAACATGTGGCTTCATTGATGGCTGGAATCTCTCTGAAAACTGTAAACTGAAGTTGGTTTTGGTCACAGATAAAGAAGGGCTGTATCGACTGAGACCTTCAAGTGAAGTGGGCCAACAGGTGTGTCTTCCTTAGTATAATTATCATTGGCAAAAAAACTATAACTTTGTTCAGGGTAATGTTTCTTTACTTGGCACTAAATGAGGTCCTTGATATGGGCTTAACATAGAACCCTTTTGATGCAGAAGGTATGTTAAATTTGTTTTCAGTTGCCCCCGATTTCGATTCCTTCGGCTTTTGCAGGTTGGTCTACTATCCTTTACATGTGTGCAGCGGCCCATGTATTTTTATTCTTTATGGGGCACAACGAAAGCTACTGAGTCACCAGTACCTGTGCCACCTGTATTGATGTTGTTTTCTTTTTACAGAGAAAAGATAACTCTTGGAATCTCCTCCCTAGTACCAATTAAATGGGTTGTAGATTATGGAAAGAGATGGCAGATTCGTAAATATATCAAGTTGATTGTACGGGGGAATCAAACTTCGACTGATTTATTAGGAATATATTTGATCAGAGACCCAAATCCTCAAAAATTCACATCGTTTTAATCGTATTCTCTTATGATCATATGGTTTTGAAGATAGGTAAATAAAGTCTATCATAGTTACCATCCAATTTGTTGTACACCAATGTATGCGAGTCTGGTAAAACTTGTATTCTTTTGCCATTAGAAATCTGTAAGTGACTCAACTTATCTGTCGGGACTTCAAGACGCCGTGTTGGAGTCACTTCGTAAAATGAAAGGCCGTGAAGAAGCAAAGAATCCTTTAGAGGCTGATCTCTGGTGTCATTTTGGATCGGCTGTTATCCGGGGACCCAGTGAAGGTAAAAACTTGTAATCGGTAGCACATGCGAAAAGCGAGTGTGTTTAAGGTTTTTTAACTATACAATCTATCGGCGTCGCTGGTTAAATTATGATTATTACATGTCACGAAAGTCGTGCTAAGTATCAAGCATTTTTACAGTTCATTTTTTCACAGCATGCTAATATATATTTTACTTTTGAATTAAGCGGGGTTGCTGATGAAACACGATTTATTTTTGCTAAAAAGGTCAGTCAGAAAAAGCCTCTATGGTAGGGATCATATCAATATATAGAGCCATAAATCATTAATCAGATAACGATTATCTGTATCCCTTTCCTAATATCATTTGCATTATGTTATTTATCCTTCTACAGAATTCTTTTGTTACGTAATGCAAAAGGTTCCGTAGGAAGACTTAAGGCAATAGCTTAAGTAACCTAGCCTGAAGCAATCAAATGTGTTGGTGTTCATATCACGTTTGTTTATGTTTTGTTTTTTTCCATTTGTATCTGAAAGTCACAATTTACTTCATTTGGCAATCACATAATTCAACTCAACCTATTTAACCAGGGTTCAAAAACAGTATAGATCAAAAGCTCTTTCATTCAACTAAATTCAGCGAGAAAAAAACTGAACATCATCGATTTTAGAGGGACAGTATTTGTCGAAATAAAAATGTCATTTCAAACTCCAGTTTTATAGCTACAATTCCAAAATATCTTCTAATGGTAATTGAACTGAGTGTAGTGAAATGTATAACCTGTATTACCTGAAAACTGCATTTATCTTCACCAATCATAACTAATGTTTTCATGTATATTATTAGTACAGGTAATCAAATGATTTGAAGTGCAACTTGACATAAATTACCTGAAGTAAATTTTTCAGAGGCTGACCGTATTGCACGCGCTCGTAGGGCTCGTGCAATTTATCATCCCTGAAAAAGTTACAAGTGCCAATTTATCTCAAATTGCACGTGAAAAATCATGTGATAAGTAGCTAATAATTTACAAGCAATAATAAGAACCTTTTTTTCCTTTTAAGCTGTATTTATCTCAAGTTTCAAGTTCAAGTTTCAAGTTTCAAGTTTCAAGTTTATAGGTCTTCCAAAACAATTACTTACAATAAACACCGCCTGCAAATAGCGAGCTAATCTAGGCGGATGATGTTAAGGACAAACAAACACGAATTACTCATTGAAGGCGTTAAAAAAGTCGTTTTTGAATACAATATTTGTCAAAAAAGGAAAAAAAGTGATAAAAAGTGAAGAAAAATATTATAATTTATGATTGAATTGTAATTAAGATGCCTTTTTTATTTCAGAAATAAGAGTGCTAGTGTCAGCGTAACTGTCCAGAGTTTCTAGAGTTTCAAATAGTAATGCTTGAATTTTCTTTTTGAACATGTGCCTTGGTAGTTTTCGATAGCTTTCGGGAATGCTGTTCCAAATTTTAGCACCAACAATGGAAAAAGAATTTTTATGATGATTGAGCCTAGAATGATTAATATAGTAGCTACCAGAAGATGATGGGCGAGTATTTTACTGATGTATGTTATGTCTTGTGTAGAAGTAAATAGACTACAGATATTTTGAGGTGCAGAGTTAGCGGTTATATCAAACATCAAGATTGATGAAAGTTTGAAGTAGAGCATTGAGATTGGCAAAATGTTAGATTGGGCGAAATATGGAATCGCATGCGTTCTGAAGGTCAGAAAATTGATGAGGCGAACAGCTCTCTCTTGGAGTATAAGAATTTTTTCTAAATGAGAGTTGGAAGCTTGGCCCCAGGCAACGAGGTCATAAGATATATAGGGAGAAATTAATGAATTGTAAATACTTTGAAGTGTTTTTAAAGGGAGAAAGAGTCTTAGTCTCGAAATAATTCCAATATTTCTGCTGATTTTTAGAGTAATATAACTAATGTGGTGTTTCCAGGATAAATGTTGGTCAATTATTACCCCAAAGTATTTAACATTATCCTTACGTTCAAGATCAAAGAACGTTTTAGTGAGGCTCTTATGCAAATGTTAAAATTTTAAAATTGTTAAAACTAATTTCGTGTCATGACTCACCAGTTTGGCCACTTGCCTTTGCCTTGTTGCCGGAGAAGTCGGGCTTTTTCCTCAAGAACTTGCTTCAAACTTTTAAAACCTCTTGCTGTCAAGAATAATTGAGCATTTGAATTCTTTTCTGTTAGATATCGGTCGACAGCATTAACCATTGCACGAAAGCTATCACGCTCGTGATCATCCCCATCTTTCGAACGAACTTTTGCCTAAAACTCCCCATGAATTTTATTCAAGGCCTCTGGTTCATAATTTCATAGCCGTTTTTGGAAGCCAGACTTTTATGCAGTTGTTTTTCCTTCGTTGGGGTTTGTTTGTTTTTAAGCGTTCTCTCTCAAACTCTGGATTAAAACGTTGTTACTTTCTCCGCTATTTTTTTGTTGTTGTGCTTTGCAACTTGCTTGTCAATCGAGTTAATTTCAACTTATTGTACTCGATTTGGACCTTTTGTACTCTATTTCAACTTTCCTTACTGTTTTGGATTAATTGGCGGGTTCTTAACCAATGAGCATGCTAAGAGTTTTGCTTGTATATACTTAGGTCTGAAATCATACTCGTGATTTCAAAATCAAACGAGCGGACAGGGTGACTTTGATTTGAAGTGTGATTTCAGACCAAAATGGCACGATAAAAAGTTTAATTACCACTTCATTGAATTCATTTTGAAATCGCAAAATTCAGCCGCTCCAATTCAGGTTTCTAGTCTGTACAAATATTTCATTGACCGTCAGCTTTGAGCTGTTATTTAATAAGTTTCAAAATTTGTCTTTCATTTTCCTTCAACTTGAATGGTTTCTTTACAGAAGCCCTAAAATTTGATTGGTTGTTGTGTTTTAGATGCGATTAAGAACCTATAATGGTGCTTTTCAGGAATAAGTTGCGCCGACGAGAGCCATTTAGATTGCAAAGATCACCAGTGAATTCAAACTGGATGTAATGAAGGCTAAGGTTACCGTTAAGCGCTTGTGATTAAACATTATACAAAGCACTGTATTAGTATGGAATTGTTTTTATTTCTATTTTCATCATTAACTAATTTTACGCGATGCATTTTCTTCCTCTTACTTGAAATAACCATTCGAATCAAGGATGTCCCAACTAGTGATTAACAACAGTACAAACTAAACTTAAAGAGGCTCTGTTACCCACCAGGAGAATGGAGCATAGATGATGCAGCAACAAGGTTTCAATATTCAGCCGATGGAAATTATTGGAAGGTTGCATTTCAAGAAGGCGTGGATTTTATGGCAGATTCGTTCGAAAACTATTTCTATGAAAGTACACCGAAAGAATATCGTGATTACGCCGCAAGATATGACTTAACATTCCTTACTCCATGCAGTCATCAATTGAGATGCAAGGTAAGTCAGTTAAAGGGTCTGATTACATGGGCGGCGACTAGCCCAATTATAACAACAGGCCTGGGTAAATTTTTCTGGAGAGATATAGCCGGCTTTTATGATGTTATAAGCAATTCATTATATAACGAAAACTTTGAAAATAATGGCCGGTAAATAAAGAAATAAAAGTCATATGAAACAAGGTGTTATCGTTGAACATTACGGGCAGTTTCGAAGTTATTGCTCTGCACATCTGCACAGTAACAGAAACAGTAAGAGAAAGCCTAACCCAACCTAGAAGTTTTTAATAAGCACTGACTCTACTAAGTTACTTTGTGTCGAAAAGATAAAACCTTTGTGTAAGTAAGCCCAATTTTACTAATATCCACTAATGTTAAATATATGTATGTATTAAGCTACGACAGCTACTAAACAAAGCATTCGAATGGGAAAGCTAAAAGCAATCAAATTAAAGATGATTTTACATAAAATTTTTCATTTTTCTTTTCAGGTATGGGTCACAAAAAAGGATGGTAAGGAGAAGCTAGAAGGTATCCCAATCCCAGTCACTGACGTCAGAAATATCATGGAAGAGATTCACTTCACCGATGAATCCACTCGGTTGCGAAGTCGAGGCTGGGTGGTTCTCCCGTCGCGGAGATGTTTGCAAGCCGATATTTTGTTTCCCGGGTGTGAGTTTGATTGCAGACTCATAATCAATGAACATGCAGGTACATTTATATTTGTTGCTTGATCGGAATTAATGGATGGTTTGCATTTTTTAGTAGCCATTGGGACAATGATGAGAGAGAACTATCCTCGATGAATAATTTGTCGCTCTCTTTCCCAAAAAGAAAAAGAATGAAGATCCACAAAAAAAAAAATGACAAAACCTTGCAACCCTTGAATCTATTTTGAATCAAGAACATTCGACGCGACTCTAATTAATCCGAGCCTTCCAAATTCGCATTGGTTTCATGGAATGTGAATTTTTCTTAAAAGCGCCCAAATTTAGTAAGATACATTTTAGCAGTCTGCTCAAAGTATAGCCAGTATACATATAGACAGTATACAGTATATCCTTATTGAGATACTAATCGGGGGTTAGGAATCAAAATGATTGTGACACCATGACCTCTGCGACGTTTTTCGAAAATTTCCCAAGTGGACGCCTGCCAGTGGATAATCTAGGATCGATAAACCTTTCCAAAATGTCTTTCTTGATGTATGTTTTGATAGGAAGGGCCAAAACTGTAGATTATAAGCCTAAAGAAGAAGTTATACGTGTGTTAGCAAGATATCTATCAGGGCTGACTTTGACGGATGATGACCCGTTTGGCTTGATACTTCCCGGCGAGTATGAGATGCCCAAGGGATTTCATTTGATTCACAAGCGGCTTTCCAAACGAAATGTGTACACGTCTAAACCTGGTTTCAGTGTTATCCTGTCGAAGGAAACCTCGTGGAGTGCTGATGTGACAGGTGGAAGTTGCAGAGATTCGGTATTGATTGTTTGCTTCATTTTGTCCAGTAGTTATGAAAAGCTTGATAATTGTCAGCGATCTAAACTTCCATAATTTTTGCCCCAAATTCTTAACTAACTCCTGGAATATCTTTAAAACAGCGAAGAATCAAATTGCTTTACCAGAGTGGATAGCCACCAGATTCAAAGAATTTGTAAAATAACCTCGAAGTGGCGAGACTATTTTCTTTTACTTTTACTGATGGGCAATTGCACAGACACTGTAGACGTTGCAGATGTTACTCTTAAATTAAACAATGCCGTCACGTTGTCTTACGGAAAACACTAATAGCGGCCTTTTTGGAACGGTACATTATGGTTTCCACGACAATCTCCAGCTTCATATCCTATTATATTCATGGCTAAACAGAGTGCCAGGCTATATCATGATTTCTTTCCACTTTGAATTATTTGTAGGCTGATGTACATCTGCATTGCGAGGAGTGGGACAGGCTACTCAGTGGTGGTCAGTGGGAACCCGAGAGTTTAGTGCAACAGCTGCCAGAGTTTCTCGAGTTTGTCAAGGAAGTTCAGTGCTTTGTTGTTGCTGCCTTGAGGAGTAATGGAGTAGAAAGAAAAGGCAAGTTGAAAACATTCACCATGGGGAGTTGAAGAGAGAGTTCAAAAGCTTAAAAAAACTCGAACATTTTGGATTGACAAGTTCCAGCATGGCTCGCGCCAGCTTCAGTTAAGGGCTCCATTATCTATTTTTCAAGTTAAAAACATGGAAATATACTAACATGCAGATCCACTGAATCACAATAACCGAAGGTAACGAACGGGACCTTTTCAAATCGGAAGGTACTGTCTGCTATAAATGGCGAAAGTATCATTCAGTACGTTACTAAACTAGGCAAAATATTAAGATATAAAGGTGATGTCATCTTGGTCTTAGGTGTTTAAATCGCATTCAAGCTATTGTCGAAGCGGGTCTCTCGTTCAATTCGCTAACGTCAGTGCACCAACGTATGAAGTTGATTCGCCAATGTCTAAAGTCATTTCGCCAACGCTTATATGTCAGTTCGCCAACTTCCAAAAGAATTGTAATAACAAATGTTAGGAGCCACCAAGTTTGCAAAAGTTAGTGACTAACAATAAAAGGACCCTAAAAATTTCAGGGGGGAATAAGGTGATTTAAAGGTTTTACGATCAGCCGTCGATCGATCGATCAAAAACATTGGCGAATCTCATACGTTGGCAAGCTGATCAAAAACATTGGCGAATCTCATACGTTGGCGAGCTGATGTTGTTAAAATGACTTTGGCGAACTGACGTTGGTGAGCTGACACGTTGGCGAAACGACCAGTCACCTATCTCATGAGTTAGTGCAGCGAACGAGTGGGATATCAATTTCGAACACGAAAAGAGAAATTCCATATCTACCCGCAACCATGTAATATTTTTTTATTATATAGACACAATAGGTTTTTACTGACAAGAAAGGCTGGCTTTATTAATGAATCCAATCCACGAAAAAAGTCACAAAGTTCATGAGCGATAAGGCTCAAGGTGAAAAATTGCGTTAAATCATTACAAAAACAAACACTGGGAGGGACTTCCAATTCGCAAAGTTCTAAGTTATCATCTTTTCCGTCACCGACAAAAGAAATCTGCCTAGGTAAAAGGCCAAAATTGGCTTGTGGCAAATCTTTGAGTTATCAATCAACTTCTCAGCCACGAAAAATGCCATCAACAAAGTCGAGTAACTTTTGTTTGTGTGTTTTTTTTAACTGGTTCCCTCCCCCTCTGGAGAATTTAGAACATCGCTGTCTGGAAGCGCTACTACTTTTTCACCGTTGTTGTTTACATTTAATCTCTTAACTACAAGTATTATTTCCTTTACTTACAGTTCCTCCAGTGATTCGTGCTCGAGGTCCTTTAGCTTTGGCAACCTACTTAAATGCCTTAGCTGATGGTCAAGCATGTGTCAAGAGAGTGCCTTTAATGATAGTTGGACAGGATCGATCTGGAAAAACCAGCGTAAAGAAGTCCTTGAAAGGGATTTGCTTCAACCCAGAAGAGGATAGCACCCGGGGAATTGACGTCGATCGTTATCATTTTAGAGTAACCACTGAAATATGGACGACAGGAAAAAAAGACGAGGAGGCCAACATTGGTACTGAAGTTATTTCATTTAAGGAGAAGACAGCACGGTGGGTTGCCGAGAAACTGACTACGCGTGAAAAAGTTGCTGAAGTCAAAAGAACAAGCTCAGCCGAGCCAAATGAAGAAATTGTCACCCCAGAGGAAAGTGAACCCAATGAAACTCCAAACTTAGCAGACCTTTCAGAATCATCCAGGAATCCAGTATCAACCAATACCACCAAGAATAGACTTCAATTACAAACGGGAGAAGCACGAAATCCCATTGAATTAGAGCAAGAAGAAGATTTTCTTACCACCGCCCTGAAAAAATTGCCAGATTTCGACGAAGTTGCGAAGGTACTTCCCCAACTCCTTCAAGACAACTGGGAAGACGATAGAGAGGATATCTATTCAGTAATCTGGGACTTTGCCGGACAGTCAGTGTACTACGTGACGCATCCCCTCTTTCTCACAGGAAGGGCAGTCTACTTTCTGGTCTATGACTTGAGCAGAAATCCAAGCGAGAAAGCCACACCATTGGTGAAGCAGGGAGTTTATAGAGTAATTGAAGATAGATATAATCTGAAAACGAACTTTGATTATTTAGACTTTTGGATGAGTTCTTTGGCTTCCTTATTAGAACAGAGTGATTGCCAACAAGTGGACCCCGTAACGGAGGTACCTTTGAAGAAATTTCCAGCCGTCTTCCTGGTGTGCACACATGCTGATCAGCCCTATTGTGATCGTAATCCATTTGATCTAGCCAAAGAAATATTTGGCGATTTGAAGAGCAAGCCATATAGTGCCCACTTGTTTGACGTGTTTTGTGTTGATAACACTAAGTCTGGCACTGAATCCGAATGCAAAGAAACCATGCGCTTACGAGAGGCCGTACAGGACGTTTCTAAAGGGTTACCACACGTAAACGAGGCCATTCCGATTAAGTGGTTAAGATACGAACATTTCCTTCGTGTCCTTAAGGAAAATGACCATCATAAGTTTATCTCCTTCTCTATAGCGAAAGATATAGCTTTCAAATTTTTTAACATTAACGACAACGAGGTACAGACACTGCTAAACTTTTTGCACGATCTTCGAGTTTTAATTCACTTTGACGATTCTCCAGAATTGAGTGAGATAGTTTTCTTGGATATTCAGTGGTTGATTGATGTGTTCAAGAATGTAATTACTGTCACGGCCTATCACGAAGAGAAGAGCTTTGCTCATCTTTGGAAGAAACTCGAGATAGAAGGAATCCTGGAAGAAAAACTCTTAAAACATGTTTGGAGCTCTTTGATTCCTCAGACAGAAACCCACGAGAGTCTTATTGAAATTATGAAGAGATTTAGCCTTTTGTGTCCTTGGCCACAGCCATCATCACACGAAGTTCCCGGCAAACGTTACATAGTGCCATCTATGTTGCGAACGCGTCCACCAGCGGAGATACCTAAGCTTGTTGAATCTGCAAAAATTCCATCTCTTTTTCTAAAATTTGACACAGATCGGGTCCCTCTAGGCTTATTTCCCCGATTTGTACTAGAATTCTTTCAGTGGTGCAGAAAGGAATTGCCTCGCTTAACTTTGCCACAACTTTACCACAATTTTGCCAGATTTAACAAATTTCCGACTCAAGGAAGCTCTGTGGTTTTCCTTTGCCACCATTCCACAATCGAGGTCCTTGTCCTAAGTGTAGAAAGTGATATTAATATTGCCTCAATTCGAGCATTTAGGAGCCAGCTAACCTCGATCATTGATCAATTTGGGAGCAAGTACTTCTGGGTGAAGAACGTTGGATGCAAGGTGTGTTTCTTATGTCCTGTTTGTTCCCGTGGACGCGTGGTCAGCTTGTGCACACTCCATTACGAAGAACGTTGTGAGCAAGAGGAATGCCTTCACTTCATTTCAGAGTCAGATTTAGGTGACGAAATGCACGCCGTTTGCACCAGGTCTGTAGCCGCTGTGGATAACCGAATTCAGGTCGAGAGCTTCTCTCCATGGATTTTCTCTGCTGAAGATAAGGTTAAGAAAATAAGGTTAATACTTTTTTGTTTTGAGAGTATAACCATATTTACTTTAATTACTTTCTTATATCTACTTTCTCAACATTTCATTACCGCAAAAAGAAAAAAGATTAGTTAATAGTGCATAGTTATGTCATAACAGACACCCTTAACATTTTGGAGACACTGACGGATGCACCAAAGGTGACTTGTAGACAGTTTCAGCCTTCTTGTTTTTCTAAATTTTAGATCTTCTCTAGTACCACGATTCCCGAAAAAAAGGAAAAGGAAGAAAATTAGCCTGCATTAAATTCCTTCTGACTGATCGTGAGAGAAATAGCTGAACTGGTCGAGTAACTTGTTATTTTTAACTCTATGGCCTCATTTGCATAATTCTTTGCATAAAATCCTGATTTCTTACCATTGACTTTTCTCAATCAACAGGAGATGGAGGCTTCTCAAAGTGATGAGAGACTCCAAGCTATTGTGCAAGGTCAGCCTCTGCTTTAATCTCTTAATTACATATCTTACAAGAAAAAATGAGCCTTTTTCAATATTATTTAAAGGTTACATTACCTCTTCACGGTGTCTATTGCAGTTGGTATTTCTAAATGACTCCTTTCACGTACTAAATTTATTTTTGCTAATTTTATCTTAGATGGAAACGAGAAGACACCTTTGTTACCTTTCAAAGCTGTAGCACCCGTTCAGTTACAACCACTAGTAGGCGCTGAAAGCGATGGGAAACTGGTTCCTTTTGCACAAGGTTAGTTTCATTGATAATTTGTTTGGTCATAAGTGTATTTTATGCACACTACATTCAAAGGCATTTTCAATAATTTATCGGGAGCCTAGAAGTGTTACTCACTATAACGCCTTCATTTGCAACACTGGTGCAGGAAATTGTCGAATGCAGACACCTGTTGCAAATCTACTAGAAGCAGTTCCTTCACGAGATGTATTCCAGGGGAGCGGAGGGATGCTGTTTCCTTTTTCACAAGCTAACTTGACTTTGTCTGATACGATGAATATATGAAGTTCATATATTTTGAACTGCGGTTATAGATACGTATGATGCACGATCCTCGCAGTAGAGAGGGCTATTTAAGCAATAGCGAAAATCAGACCTGATGCAGCGAAAATCAGACCTGATGCACGATCCTCTCTACTGCGAGGATCGTGCATCATACGTATCTATAACCACAGTTCAAAATATATGAACTTCATATATTCATCGTATCTGATTTATCATCACTGGTTTATTACGAATCAACTTAACGGCCTGCTTCCAGTTGGCTTGTTAGCTCAGTTGGTAGAGCGCTGCATTAGTGTCGCAGAGGTCAGTGGTTCGAATCCCGTACAGGCCTGATTTTTTTTTCAGGTCTGATTTTCGCTATTGCATAGATAGCGCTCTCTACTGCGAGGATCGAGCATCATACGTATCTATAACCACAGTTTAAAATATATGAACTTCATATATTCATCGTATCTGATTTATCATTGGGTTTATTACGAATCAACTTAACGGCCTGCTCCCAGTTGGCTTGTTAGCTCAATTGGTAGAGCGCTGCACTAGTATCGCAGAGGTCAGTGGTTCGAATCCCGTACAGGCCTGATTTTTTTCAGGTCTGATTTTCGCTATTGCATAAATAGCGCTCTCTACTTGACTTTATCTGTTTATCATTTTGGTTGCTTGATTATAAGTTGAGTGCAACGTGCATTACCTCTATGGCCGATCATTCATAGTGTTCCTACCATTTCTGCATCAGGTTGCCCTTTTTCACCCCAAGTTCATTCCCTTTTTTCGGTCGATAAAGCTAGATTTCTTTGTGGCTCATTTTGACTATCTCTGTCGTTGTTTTTCGATACTTTAGGGAATGGAGACAAATCTCTCGTTCTGCCTCAAAAAGTTAGCGAATCTCTCCAGTTAACATTAGTCTCTCCAAAAGAGATTGTAGATAAATTGCTTCACTATCTTGAGGACGCCTCACTAGAACATCCAAAACCTGAAACTGAGAAATGGATCCGTTGCCTTACGAGGACTGCTAAAGATCGTGGCCGGACTGATATTGTTAGCTATTTAAGAGAAATCGTGCCAGCAGGGACAACAGGTAAGCAAGCCGAGACGGCGAGTGGTTCTAAAAAGCGTTTTCATACGGAATCAGAACACGCCAGAAAGCCTGAACAGGTCGTTCATTCGCCGTTCGGGTAACCGGTCGTTTCGCCAACGTGTCAGTTCTCTAACTGACTTTAGACGTTGGCGAATCGATCCCATATGTTGACTGACTGACGTTGGTGATATCCGCTGTTCTATACGGAAATTGATAGAAAATATCCGAAAAACGATTTTGATTTTATTTTTCGTTTCATAAAGTTAAATAACTTTTCCTCTTTATTTTCCACCAGAACATTCGAAACTGCTAAGTAAAGTTAAACGCACATCTGTAAATTGTGGGTCTCCTTGGGGTGATCACTTTTACTGCATGCAGTTAAAACTTTGGAAAACTCTTACGGCTCTTACGGATTAACTTCTTTCCACCCCGCTAAAGGAAATGATAGTACGGTTAACCGTTTTTTAATGATGAATGGCTAAAATTCTTCAGTGTTTACACCTTACAGCTGATTTAGTTCGCTCTTTTACGGCTGAGGGTTAATCCCAATTAGACCCTCTATGTTTAGTTTCAGACCGCCAGCCAATGGTCTGCCTTTGAAATTTACTTCTCACGAATACTGCTGTTATTTATTTCAGGTCCAGAGCTGCCTGAAACCCTCCTTGTCCAAAACATTCCTGAAAGTCGGCTAAAAGAGCTGACAATTACCCTCAGTGGTGAGGCTTTGTCACAATAGCAAAGGCTTAAGACATTTTTACATAATAGGGATTAGATGCGTGTTTCAAATCAGAAGCGTTTTCAAATCAAAACCCTTCTGCTTCCTTCCTTCGTCCCTTTTCCTTCCTTTCGTCCTTCCGCCCTTTCCTCCTTCCTTCTCCTTGGGGTGGTGAGAAAGAGCAGAAAAAAATGAAATTTGTTCTCGCCTTTGTCTTGCTTTTTTTATAATTTATCTGTGTCGTTGGCAAAAGTCGTGCCATACGAGAAGAAAGAAATTGCATTGTAGCTGGAAACATAAAACAGCTGTTTTGAAAATTCAGCAGAAATTTGTAAATGAAAAAGTGAGGGGAAGACGGAAATATCTTTTGAACATAGTTCAATAATTATTCTTGTAGGTCTAGACGATTGGAAGATATTTGCTGAAAAACTGAGACTGACCCCAGCGGAGATACGTTTTTTGGACAAGCGCACAAGAAATCAAGTGTTTGAAGTTTTGGTTTACGCTGCACAAAAATATCTCATAACTGTGGGAGATCTTTATGACGTTTTGAAAGACTGTGGGATGCCTGTCTTAGCCGACTTGCTTTGAAACTAGTAGTTCTCTTTCACTTTGAAGGATCTGTTAGCAACTGATTCGAACATCAAGTAATAGGAATTATTGCAAATTTATATTTTAATCAGGTACCCTAGTTACTCCAATAAACACTGCGGTCGATTAAAAGCCGCATGTTGGGGGAAACTACTATGAAATGCATTCCCTTGAATAAAAGCCGTATCCAACCAGATGAATAGGGTGTTCATTCAAAGGTTATGAGAGAAAAATTCGGCTAAAACTGGTTAGTATGCGGGATTCTTCATGTATCTGTTAATTTATATCGCAACTCCTACATTTCTGATTCTATCTCGAGAAAAAGTGAGTCACATGCTTTCTTTGGAAATGATAATTGTTTTAACTGTTGTTGACGTCACTCGTTTCAGCTGGGAAATATGAAATGAACGGTACCTTCGATTGACCGTTGTCCAAAAAGTTTAAATCTGCAGTCAGTCGGCGATGGGTCTACTTACAAAAAAAAAACAACCTAGCATTTACAATCTAACACATGTCCCTGCTTTTAAACATTAGTGGATTTGTTAAGAGACGAGTTCTCTTGAAAAGGTAATACTACTTAGTAAATGTCTCTATCATGATTCTAGTGGGAAAATATTATATAGTAAGCTTGCGTGAGGTTGCAAATGTCGCTAGCCACGCGTAAGCGAGGCTATTGCCTATTGGTTGAAGTGTACCGAACGTGTGGGCAAACTCAATTCTCACATGTCGTACAATTTTACGTTTTATTTCATCACAATTATCTGAAAAGTCTCGCCCAGCCACTCTTGTATCTTGCTTCTCCGATTTCGAATGTAACAGGACATATCGTTGGGATATAGGGCAAATGCTATTGTTTTTCCTATCAGGTTCTTTTCCAAGAGTACTACTTAAATATCGTTGTTAAACAATTTCGAACGCCAAAATTCATAAGAAATTGCGACAAATTAGCAATTGTTTATGATCTCTTGATCATGGACAAAATAGGTTTGTCCAAGGG